ATAGAAAAGTTTGATTATGGAGGGAAATTATTCAAAGGTTTCAATGAAAGGAATAAGTTGCAATGAAATAGTGCTCCTGTTATGGGAAGACACACAGAGAATGAAGAGTGTTTCCTGCTCCCCATTCCCCAGTGCAGGGCACGCATAGAGGGCAGGGAGGAAAGAAATGGGGGCCAAGCAAGGCCTTTCCCACTGGGAAAGGAAGCAGAGGGTTCACCAAAGAGCACCAGTCAGCAGATCTGCTATTAGTGGAGATGGTGAAATTACTAATAATGAGGCAGGGAAGACTGGAGTGGAAATACTGATGTGCTGCGTGGGAAGGAGATTGAGGATGTGCTGGTATAGCAGGGGAACCATGGAGCACTGCCTTCCATGGAGAGTGAAAAGCCCATCCACACTAATCACAGCAGACCCTCAGTGTCCCACCAGCCAACAAGGAGAAATCCAGCTTTTATTAATTTTTACCACATCAGGGACAACGGGAAATGGTGAGAATGCTGAGGTTTTGCTTCTCTGTGTCCCATGAAGGTCCCTAACCTGAAATCAGTTACCTGAGCTAGTGGGAAAACCAACACAGGGTTCAGCTGATAAAGAATTAAAGGTGGGATTAACATCAATCACTGTAATTGCATGCAGGTAGCTCGTTTGTGACAGGCTGCATGGAAAAGGATCGGAGCTGCACCTTTGTTTAAAGATACAATCCATGAGCAGCATCAGAACCAGCGCTGCTTTCGGGCTGGTGTGGTGAGTGGCCTCAGCCATCACAGTGCGTGGAGGAAAGGCTGGGATACAGGTAAACAAGCATTAAGTGCTGGCTCTCCGTACAAATGGAAATGAAGGATGTGATAAATTTGCTTTTTAAAGCAATCAGATCTCCAATAGCCACCATTTGGCTCAATTGGAGACAATGAGGACACAGGGTAATGTGACAGATCAGCCATTTTGTGGGAATGAACACATTCATTTTAGCTATACCACGCAGACAAAATTCACTTTAAGTTACATAACACGGCAATTTATCTTCATCATCCATTACCTGTGAGTTCATAAGTGGAAACCTGTCATCAAAGACACAGCCTGTGCTTGACTAAAAGTTCAGGGCACCGACTGCTTTGATGCCACAGTCACAACCACACTCTGCAAGGACGTCTAGCTGAGCTGCATGCATCCCACCCCATGCAGAACAACACGAGGGCTGCCCCAGCTCGCCCTCAGCATCAGATCACCTCTGCTGCCATCTCCCATTGCCCACCTGGAGCACTGTGCAGTCCTCAGTACAGGAGAGAGTCACGAAATCATAGAATCATAGAACGGCTTGTGTTGGAAGGGACCCCAAGAATCACCACGTTCCAACCCCCTGCCAAAGGTAGGGCCACTAACCTCCAGATCTGGTACTGAACCAGGCTGCCCAGGGGTCCATCCAACCTGGTCTTGAACACTTTCAGGGATGGGGCATCCACAGCCTCTGTGGGCAGCCTGTTCCAGAACCTCACCACTCTCTCTGTGGGACGTGGAGCACATCCAGAGGAGGGCCACAAAAATGATGCAAAGTACTCACAGTCTGCAAGATTCCTTTCCATGGCATGAATGCAACCTGGCAGTACCCAGACTTCTCTTTTTTCTCCTCCCAGCAGACAAATTGGAGATTTTTTCACTTGGCAAATTTTGACTGTTTTGCTGAGAGCTGTGGCTGGGGCTTCTCGCACATCATCTCTTGCTCCTTTTTCTCCGTTTCCTCCTTCTCAGACCTCACTCACAGCCTTGCCTTTTATCAGAGGCCCAGCAAGCCCCCAAAATTACATTACATTACATAATTGGCACCACTGTCTAGATCAATCACAGGTAATCCTATGATTTTGTCTTGTGTACCATCCATTGAAAAGCATATTGCTCATGGGTTTTATTTCCTACATGGACTGCAGCACTCCCCAATTTTCTGTACTACAGCTGGGTGCACTTAGCCTCTTCTGCTTGACTTGCCTGAAAAATGTGAAACTCTTCAGGAGCTTCAGAGCAAGCAATTGTCAGGAAATGCTACCTCCCAACTTTATTTTTTGTTTCTGGTAGCTGTTTCTTGAAGTAAAATGAGCAGTGAAACACTGCCCAAGCATTCCCTATTCGATTTGAAGCTGGTCATACAGCTTCACAGAATCACAGAACGGCCAGGGTTGGAGGCGACCTCAAGGATCATGAATCTCCAACCCCCTGCCACATGCAGGGCCATCAACCTCCATGTCCAATGTTAAACCAGGCTGCCCAGGGCCCCATCCAACCTGGCCTTGAACACCTCCAAGGACGGGGCATCCACAACCTCTCTGGGCAGCCTGTTCCAGTACCTCACCACTCTCTGGGTAAAGAATTTCCCCCTGATGTCCTACCTCAATCTCCCCTCCCTCAACTTCAAACCATTTCCCCTCATCCTACACACATCAACCCTTCCAAAGAGTTGATTCCCCTCTCCTCTGTAGGCTCCCTTCAGGTATTGATAGGCTGCAATGAGGTCACCCCACAGCCTTCTCTTCTCCAGCCTGAACAAGCCCAGCTCCCTCAGCCCATCCTCATAGGGAGGTGCTCCAGTCCCCTGATCATCCTAGCAGCCCTCCTCTGGACCCTCTCCAACAGCTCCCCCTCTTTTTCGTACTGCGATCTCCACACTTGGACGCAGTATTCCAGATGGGGCCTCACAAGAGCAGAGTAGAGGGGGACGATCACCTCCCTGTCCCTGGTGGCCACCCCTCTTTTGATGGACCCCAGGATACCATTTGCTTTGGCTCATGTGAAGCTCTTGGCCGTGTATAATGTTTGGATTTTCTCCTGGCACAACTGGATTTTGGAGATGAGGAGTGCAAGGACTGAGCCTGAAGCCCAGCAAAGGTGAAATTCCTCCTGATGTCTGAGAAGCCTTCTGAAGCGTAGAGCGCTGGAATACGTGATCGTCATCAGGGATTTGTTAATAATCTGTTGGGTGAGCATGCATTGAGCTGATCTGCTTTGGGGCTGGGTGGGCAGATAGGCTCGTTTCATCCTCACGCTATCCATCAGTTTATCATACTGATGTTTGTGGGAGGTGAAATATTGGCACAGGCTGCCCAGGGAGTGGTGGGGTCACCGTCCCTAGAGGTATTCCAGAGCCATGGAGATGTGGCACTGAAGGACGTGGTTATGGGCACAGTAGAGTCTTCTGGGGTTGGGTTTGGGGATCTTAGAGGTCTTTCCTGACCTTCATGGTTCCATGATTTTATGATTCCATGACATGCAGCTGAAGACAGCCTGGAATAATAGCTCCAAATAAGCTATGAACTGTCTATTAATCAGACAGGGCGTACATTTTGAAAGCAAACAACTTTAATCATCTTCTTGCTGATTTATCCTTCAAAAACATTCAGAGTGTTCTTATCTCAGAACCTGAAGCTGCAAATGTGGATCACAGAAACGTCAGACACTTCCTTGTCATCTCGTGTTGCCAAAAGAGAATTCTCCAATGTATCCTCCCAAGTACAAAAAAAAGGCCAAGTCTCCTTTTGGTGTGTTGCCTTCCTGCTTCTTTTATATGCATTGCAATAACATATTGCAATAAATATTTCCCATGTCTCTGCCTTCCACAGCCCTTATTCCCAGAGTCTATTAGTGATATTTTCCCTGCTCTTACAGAGACTTCTGACAATTTTCCTGCTTGCATAACTTTTAATTGCAGTCACTTCATTTGTACGCATCATACAGGTGCTTTCATTGTTCACTGCTAAGAGAGATTATTATAACAAGGCAACCAGACATTTTATCTTTGCTTTTAAAATTCAGCTTAACAACATCCTTACTAGAGAACTTATTAAAAAAGCATTCCAGAATTCACTACACACAACTTCCCATTGCCAGAGAATTAGAGACATCCTGATGTGTTTGAAATGAAATACAGGCATCTGTTGGAGCGGAATGCTTTCAGGTGCTGGCAGTAAACACAGTTTTCTCATGCTGGTTGCAAACCCATACCTGCTAGAAAAGCAAAATCAAAGAATAAACAGAAAGGAAGTGGTTCATTGCCTGCATTAGATTAACCAGTGACCTCCCTGAAGGAAGCCAGGCCAAATGGGATGCACTGATTTGCTAAAACGCATTGACAGAAGTTTTACAAAATCAATCTGGTTCCCTCTGGATCACGTTGCAGCATCTGAGCTTGGCTCCTTTCCTCTCCAGACTGCGTTTGTTTACTGAATTTTTTAGGGGGGCTACAACCAACCCTTCTGCTTCACCTTGAAATGTAAAGGCCTGGTTTTTTCTTTCTAATGACTAAGGCTCATTACTGCGTGCTTGATACCCAGTGTCAACATGCTCTCACAAATCCCTGGCCCTGTTAAGATCAGTCATTGGAATTCTTTTCATACCACACCTCTGAAGACTTCTCACCAGTCTTCATCACTTCTTTCAATCCTGCCAGCCCAGATTGAGCCTAAAACCACATCTTTGAGCTCCTAGAGATGTTTGGCCTTTCCTAAATTCCTACCCTAATTCTCAAACAGAAAATAAAAGCTTTAAGAAGAAGTGCCTTGTCAAGGAAACACCAGGAAGTGCATTCAGGCAACCCAAGTGTACAGCACCCAAAGCCTGCATGGATGAAGTGAGCATCCCTGCCTGGCACTGCAGCCTGTGGAACTCACAGCCCTGGGAACGTGCCATGCTGGGGCTGTTCCAGGGCCCACCAGCATTTATACTGGTCCAGGAAGATATTTGGAACCGCTGTGGTCCAACCTCTCTAGTTTCTCTCTCCAAGGACTGCTATGGAAATGCATTCCTTGTGAATGGCAAGACCAATGGGAGATCTTCTGGAAAAGGGCCTCAATGTCTCTCCCAGCATCATTAGTTACCCTGGATGCAGTGGGGAAGCCAAAAGGGCCAGGCACAGAGCCCACCTGCTTGAGAAGTGCCCACGTAGCACAGAAATGGGGCTGGAGTCTCCTGGTGCAGCCACAGGGCTGCCTGCTGCCACAGCAACTTCAGGAAGCAACTTAAGCTGCTGCAAAGGTCCATGGAATCACCCCAACCATTCATCACACAGCTTAGATGCAAGAAGCAAATCCGAAGCTCTTGTCAGGAAGGCTAAGAAGAGGCAACATCCACAGCAATCACCCATCAGAAAGAAAACACAGGCTCAGCTCCTTCCCGCTACTCTAATCCCTCAGGAGGCAGTGATAAATCCCAGGATTTGGCTTGTCATGTAAGTCTGCAACATTTCTCCTTTTTTTTTTTTTTAGCAGAGATACCAACAGCTTGGGACAAACAGAATTGCAGGCTGTGGGTTGCAGGATGTCCATCATGTCCTGTCCAAAGTGTGACCTCGGATCACCAAAAGCTGTGATGCAGTTATCAAGATGGGTTTCGTGTTTCAAGGTCACTCAAACATCTCTAAGGAGAAGGCAACACAAACACTCGCAGTATGCAGCAGCCCTGAGCCAATGAGCTGCCATTCTACACACTGCTGCTGCAGAAAAGGAGCGAAGGCTCCAAGGATGACCTACACCATTTACACCACAGCCACGGATGGACTTGAGGAGAAGGCTTTAAAGCAACACAGAAAGCAGATTTTCTGCTCTGCAAGCCCCAAAACTCCCAGTTTTCATTGAGAGCAAAAGTCAAAACTTCTGTACAACGACTTTTAGTTGATTTTAACTGCACCCATCCCTTCAGCCTCACGTTGTAGCCCTCACTCTCTGTCCAGTAGCAAATCTACCTTTTAAAACAACACAGACATTCTGAAGCAGCCTAGAGACAAGATTAGGAATAATTTCGTTGCTGTCTTTCCAACTTTTTGAACAGTGGTGATGTCAAATGCCCCAGGTACAAACCTGAAATGGAACAGGTAACGGAGGTAGATCAGCAGTGAAGGAAATGCCATTTAGTGTCTCATCTCTAAAGAAATTTCCCACCAGTGATAAAGAGCGTGATTCGAAACAAAAAAAAATAAGATGAAATCACACAGAAAAAAATGAGTGAGGTGGGGAAAATCAGATGTGGCTGAGAACAGAAGGTACTTCTCAATTCATAAGCACCAGGAAAAGTTCTCACTCCCCACACAGTCCTAATTCCAGCATCCCCAGCCTTCCGAGAGTTTGACTTCTCAGCATAATTCCCAGCCTCAAAAAAAAATGGTGCTTTGTATGGAGTTCACCTCCACAGAGCAGCAAATCTCTGCACGATTCAGCAGGTAGGGTGAGCAATTGGCTCCGCACCGCGCTCCTCTGGTCTGAGTTACGTGGCCCGCGAGAGGCACGTGATTGATTTCAAACCCATTTATGGCTCACATAAAGCTTGAAGACGGAATCGTGTTTAGTGTTTTGTTTTCATTTCATTTTATCATGTCTCTACGCTGTAAATGTAAATGTTTGGCCTGAAGTCAGCGGGTGTAAATCAAGGTAGCCCCCTGGAAGCCAGTGATGCCACACTGACTTACACCCACCAAGGATTTAGCCAGTTCTCTCTTAATATATGGCCGGTTACAGGCATTTTTATTTGTGGTTATATTAACTGGGTTTTGCAAGGTTGCCAAATAAAGAAATGTTATCCAGGGGACAGAAAAGTGCTGCTCTTGGTAAGATTGCTTTCAGCCCCTGGAACCACCTTGCTGGCTGCGAGCGAGCACAGGCCGAAGCACTGCTCTGGGAAGGAGAAAGATGCGGTATCCCATAGACCAAGCAGGACTGCAGCAGCCCTGTTCCACGCCCAAGCTCACACTCTCATCCAGGAGAGGTCATTGCCAGCTCCAGGCTGTATAGGACAACAAGGGCAGCTTCCGCCTTCCAAAAATCAAGGAATGAAACATAGAATAGAGCCATGAAGGTTGGAAAAGACCACTAAGATCATCTAGTGCAACCGTCAGCCCATGCTCACCATGCACACTAACCGTGTAACTCAGTGCCACCAGAAAGCTCCTTTTCTTTGCCCAGATCTCTGTGTGATGCAAATTCTGGTGCAGAGCCTGCTTTTGTTATGGGAAGAGACATCCCAGGAACCACGGAGTGCTGTGACCATGAACGTGACCTGAGGTGTCACCCCCTCAGCAGTGGCCTCAAGCAGAGGGAAAGGGGAGCCCTGGGATGGGGGAAGGACAGAGGGGCAGGATGCAGACGTCTCAGACCTCTGCAGCTACTGGGTGTATTCATTTGCTTTCAGCACAATCTGTTTTACTTACTCTCAAACACCTACTTATTAAGATAGAGACTCATAGCCATTAAAATAATCAGGATGAGGTTTTTTGCAAGAGCAAAACTGCTGTTTCTGGTTATTGGGCATATTCTGAGCCTATTATTAAATGTTGTCTGTCTCAATTACCTCCACCTTTTCATTGGGATGTAGTGTTCTTCATTTTCTCTTCCAGATGAGCAGGTGCAGAAAATGGCTCTGTGTCTTGCCTGGAAATGCTTAGCCACCTGATGAATGGTAAAATAATGCACATTTCTGTTGTGCAAGGAGTATGTGCATTTGGCAAATGCGGAAATAAATATTGCTCATAGGATGCTGGAAAATCAATGGCGCAATTTCTACTACAAGGATCTCGGTGGGAAAAGCCTGTTGTGATCACTTGTGCATGCATTTCTGTAAGTAGCTACATGACACGTGCACTTTGCAGTGATCTGTCACTATTCCATTACAGAAAAGAGACAGGATCTGTCGAGAAACAAGAGGCAAGCTGGAGAAATTCAAATAGAGATGAAACCCACCTACGAAGATCAAACACAACCTGTGTTGCACAGGGGTACACCTGAAGCTGCACACCCCGTGATCCAAATACCTTCTGTCTCATCCACTTTGAGCAAACCGTTCCCTTCAGGTATGCTGGAATCTTCTGCTGGATGAGGCTTTGCAGAGGAGAGAAAGAAACGGATGCTCAAATATTTCTATCCGTGTGGGGTACAGGAGTGGCACAGCTGACGACAAAACACGACAGCCCTACAGTGAGATTTCTTTGGTAAGACACAGGGAAGACCATTGGTGAGACCATTGGTGAGAGCAAGTCACTGCTCTAGGAATCAGAACCCATCTTGTGGAATGCAGGGGTCCAGCTGCACATCTTGTTGGCAGTTTGTGGTTCTACACACAGCTCTCCTGTGCTTCCTCAGCAGATCCAGCTGTACCCAGCCTCAAACCCTGCCCTACTCCTGAGTCAGCTTGGTGTTGGATAGAAAAAGGGGAAATCTGATGGTGTTTGGATAAATGCCCAGCACTGGGCTTGTCAGATGTTAGCTCCAAATTCACACCTTTTCCTTTGGATGGGATCGACTGCTACTCCTGCTGGGGAAGCAGGTTCACTCTTGTCTTTGGCAGCAAGCGTTCAGCTCCAGAACTTTTCTTCACCGCCAAACAAGGAGCCTCCTCCCTTCAGGTCTGCAGTTTTCACGCCCTGCACAGGCAGATGCCCACAGGTACATGCACATAACCCTGACCCACTGCGCCCCACTTTCACATTCCTGTGCCTGCTCTGCCATTGCATGCCCCAAGAGCTGCTTTGCCAAGAGGAAATCTTCATTTTTTCTTTTCTTCTTCTTTTCTGGCAGAAGATATTGCTCCGCAGCTTAAGAATGATTTCTGTTCCTTATTCCTGAACGTAAAGCTGGCACTGCAAGCTATAACTGTAATTAGCAGTCATTTTTTCCATTTACTCACAGATAATTGATAAAAATGTTTAACTGCACTAATCACTGATGAAGCTCTGTGGATTGCACCATTCCCAGCCCTCCTCACAGGCAAAGTCTCAGCTTGTTCAGCTTTTGCATTAGCAACATCAACAGACTGCTGGGTTTCACTGGGCTGAAAATTCCACCTGCTGCCTCTGTTTGACCACCAAACTTCATGTCTCCCTAAGGACTTTGTCTTGCTCTGGCTCTGACACGTCGCTGGGATTTGAGTCTTTTTGTTTCTTTTTTTCGTTGTTGTCTAATATCTTCTAAATTCTTCTGATTAATTTAGCCCTGCTAAACATGGGTTATACTCATATATGTCACTTTCTACACATATTTTCGAGGTTTCTTGACTTCTGATTTTATATCAGTCCCCAAACACTTTTCCTTTTTCTATGTATTGATTTTCTAACTTCTAAATGCTCTTCTTCCTAAAATACAATCGTTTTTCCTACATTTCCTTCCTCTGGGGATAACCCCCTAGCCACCAAAACTGCTCTTATGGAAGTCACAATTCCCATTCTCATTTCTACATCTGTTTTTTCCCTTCTCCTCAGTTTTGTTTCATCTTCTCCATGGCATTTTTCTGATTCAAAGCCCTGTGTTCAAAGTCCTTCTGCCTCAGCCATCTCTTCCCGGCCCACGCCAAATGAAATGGAGCTGGCAGTAACCAAAGGACAGCCAGTGTCTAACGGTGATGAACCCAATATGTCTTTATGCTCAGAAGCTGGTTGGTGATAGGCTTTTACTGTGCAGGCTGAGGACCTTGAGATACCACCTCCAAGCACTCAAGGTGGTGGTGCCACACTCTTGGCCATTCAGAAAGCTGAAATCCTATGGAAACACAAGGTTTACTTCTTAAAGATGGCTGACAGGATTCCAGTTTTCTTCCGTGATCTGTAACAGACCAAAAGAACCCCGGTGGATGTGATTTGGACTTTCAAGTATATCTTAAAAGAAAAGGAGAAAATAACCATTCAATTTATAGAAGGTACATACAGAGTGGATGCACATTGCAGAAACGCCAGTACTGGAGATCAGGGAGGCTGAATTCAGCAGCAAACTTCCTGCAAAGCTTTTCTCACTGGGAAGGTTTGCTGGTATCCATGGAGCATCCTTGAACAAAAGTAATATTTTTGTATGACTGAAAACACACACTCATGAGTGTCAATAGCAGTAATGTGTAAATTCCAGATAGATGCAAAGCGTGCACGAAGAATTACTGCCTGCCTTGTTGCATTCTTACCTAGGATGATGTAGAAAGCATCTGAAGATGACACGCACGTCCCACGCAGCGCTGCCTTCTGCTGAGTGCAGCAGGCTGCCTGGGGCACTGGGCAAGTGCACAGTGTGTGCAGAACGTCACTCAGTATGGAGAGAGGGCTCTTAATTCCCTCATCATTTCCTCACGCAGCCTGGACTGATACATGAGCCCAACATTCACACTGTTACACGAGTCCCCTACGCAATCATGGATGTTCTGTCCAGTGTTCATCCACTGAAACGTACCTGGACTGTGACAGCACCCAATTGCACCTGAAGATCACGAGGTTCCTACGTGTGATAACAGGCATGAAATTATACCCCAGAGGTATCTCAGAATGGCAGAGCTCCCTGCGTGTCTCCTCCAGGTTCAGTGTCCTGGCATGGTGGATGAATCCATCCAAGGATCCATGTGGAGCCAGGTGTTGGACTTGATGATCCTTGTGGGTCCCTTCTGACTTGGGATATCCTATGATTCTGTGATCTCTGTCAGCACACAGGCACAACCAGCAGCACTGGCAGGAAGAACTCTTGATCTCAGCTGCTCAGCACTTAGCAGGAGGCACCAGGCCAGCTCACATTTCAGGGTGACATTTTTTTCTCATTAGCCAAGGTCTTGGCTGCACTTTAATTGTTAATGAGAGTTCAATAGCTAAAGCTTGTTACATGTAAATGGAGGGGATGCTTGCCAAATGCCTCACAGCCTCCAGCTCGTGTCTAACCAACCCTATAGGAAGCATAGGGCACAGTAACTCTTCAGACTCCTTCACTGCAAGGTAGTAAAAGACTAGGAGCTGGTGCTTGGAGGAAAAGTTATGCCATGCAGAGTTGAGCCTATAAGCACAGTGCCTGTCCCCAGGAGGCTGCACGAGATTCCTTGTCCTGGGGAAAAGTAGCACTGAGGACACCAGAAAAGTGGCCTCAGCATCTCTCTGGGAAGAGAGGAAAAGTAGCATGAATCTGCTCCAGCTGGTGTGGTCCAGGTCTGGGGTGATCTGAGCCTTGGTAGGCTGGTATGAAATGGTCAGTGATGATAACTGCTGTGGGGGAAAGTGCAGAGCAACCTTCAGACCTGTGAGCTCTATGCCAAAAGACTTCTTCAGTCCTAGACATCAGATTCCCACGTTTGTGAAGATTGGAACCGTAGGATATGAATTGCAGCAGCCAGGTTCAGCACAGTGCTTCAAGTTCCATCAGCCAGTCAGACCAGTCCCACTTAGGCCATGTCCTAGAGCTGCAGAAGAAGCCACACAAGGACAACAAACACAGCAGAGTCCATTCCTTATCCTTCAGCTTCACTCCTCCACCAGTACCAGCCTGGATTTCTGCTGTGCGTTGGTCTCTTCCAGGAATGCAGGAAAAGTGGGGGCCACGGAATGTCCTGAGTTGAAAGGGACCCACAGGGATCATCAAATCCAACTTCTGGCTCTGCACCCAAAAATCCGACCATATGCCTGAAAGCAGATGGTTCTTCAGTTTTCAGACCTTCTCCTAGCATAAAAGCATAAAGCCTGGGGCTGGAGGGGCTCAAACAGATCTGATGCCTCCTCTCAGGACTGTTGTGTTCCTGCTCCTGCGAAGTGGGTAGCAAGAAGAACATTATGAATCCCTAGAAGGAGTTCAAACAATTAATGTTTTTCATGAGATGTAATTTATGGACCTCTCCCTTGATGTTTTAGGAGGGTGTAAATAGAGGAAAGCAGCCCATAACTTAAAGGCAGGAATGTGCTAATTAAGCACGCGAAAGGAATGCTAATTAGGAGTCTGGTGAGCCGGAAGGGCACAGAGTGATACAGCCACAGTGCGACTCCCAAGGGCAAAGCTCTCCATCCTGCCATGAGCACCAGCCCCTGCAGTGCCACAGCCTGCAAGTCCAAATCCTGGCATCCCAAAAAGGCTGCCCAGGGAGGCGGTGGTAGAATCACCATCCCCAGAGGTGTTCAAGCAATGCGAGGTACGGCACCGAGGGACACGGTGGGTGGGCATGGTGGGACGGGTTGGAGTTGGGCCTGGTGATCTCAGAGCTCTTTCCTAAGGTACACGAGTGCCTGCTGTGTTCACCTGACTCACCTTCCTGCGACTGATTGCTACATAAAAGCCAGCAATGGCCGGGTGTCCACACACCGAGCCGTGAGAGCTGATTGCAGCCAGGCTCTGTTAACGCAAGGGGAATAAATGGCAGAGGGAGCCACGGTTTCCCAGCAGTTCAGAAGTGCTATTTTTTCCTTCTATTACAACGTGTGAACAATGGTCAAGTGTCTCACTTCTCCATCCGCAGCCCTCCCAAATGAAAGGGATTACAAGTGTATCATTAATATCGCGGCAACCTGGCAGCGAGTCGACAGATTTAATTTGGTGACAAGATGAGTGGCACCAGAATTCTCCCATCTCCCCAGAAAATGAAAAATAGATTCTGCCTGCTACTAGTAAATATTGCTGGTAAGTGAATAAAAATTCAAAAGGGAAAAAGCAATTTTCCTTCTGCTCATATTGTGTTCAGTTCTCAATACACTTCATGCAAGAGGCTCCCCTGCCTGATGGATTCCTCCTAGATTATATCATGCTTTTAAATTTATATGCCCCAGCTCTTTAAAAGACTGTTTGCCAAGGCCTTTGCATTCCGTGTTAGTCTGGTAACTGCTGACATTTGAAAGATGCCATCGAAGACAAATCCAAAATGTTTTTTTAAGTAAGAAAAGGAGACAGGGCTAGCAGGTAGAGGAAGATTAAAGATTTAGTCAACAGCCAAAATCAAAGTTTTCATGAACTGGTAATGTCAGGAAAAGTTTACAGGGCCTAATAGAGGGCTCGCGTGTCAGGAGAACCCATATTAAGTTTGTAGGGGGTTTTTTTCCTGCAAGAACTGCACATGAATTTTTCAGGGCTCTGTCTTCTCTGAAATGGCACAGCCGTGGCACAGCAGTGAAAGCTTGGAACTCCACGTTGCTCTGGTGAACAAAGGAAAATCCCATTCGTGGGTAGTGAATCTGCATTAATCATCTGCTTGGAACAGCTGTTATCTAACATCAAACGCTGGAAATGCAAAGCAAATTGTCAGCACCTCTTCACGGTTTGAGCCAATGCCTCTGCAGCCCCAGGTGTCGCTGCAGTCCTGGAATCATAGAATCATTGAATGGCTTCGATTGGAGGGGGCCTCATGGTTGATTCCCCTCCTGTTTATAATCTCTCTTTAAATACTGGAAGGCTGCAATGAGGATTCCCCACAGCCTTCTCTTCTCCAGACCAAACAAGCCCAGCTCCCTCGGTTTACCTTCACAGGGAGGTGCTCCAGCCCTCTGATCATCTGTGTGTCCCTCCTCTGGACCCTCTCCAACATTTCCACTTCTCTCCTGCATGATGGGCTCCAGACATGGATGTGGTACTCCAGATGGGTCCTGTATCACGAGGGCTGAGTAGAGGGGGACAACCACGTCCTTCACCCCTCTTATTTTGAAGAGCACAATCTTCACTTACCCAACCATGGCCAAGAGACGTCCGTACTTTGGCTCATCCCTCATGATTCCTTTGCAGCAAAGCTTTGCCTTCTCAGAACAGGTGGGACCCCATTGAAACCTTCTGGACAACTTCCTCTCCTACCCCATCCAGCCCAGTGGCCCCACAGCAAGAGAAGGGAGTCAAGAAGAGGGATAAGGGTAAGTGGTCAGCACCGTGCTGTGAAGCATCTTGGGGCTGCTATATGGCCCTGCCCAGTGAAGGAGAAAAACAGAGTTCTGTATCTTCACCTTCACTTTACTTAATAAAAACATACTAAAAGCAAATCAGGAGCTTTTCACACCAATCTCTAGGCTGAAAATTGCCACCGGGAGGAGGGTGTCTAACTCTAAAGTAAAAGCCTCGTTAGCAGCAGTGCTTAATTACTGCCGCTCACCTGCTTTGGCCCAGACTGCCCAGTGGAAAGATTTTTCTAGTTCAGATGGAGGAACGTACTCCAAAAACTACAATTTAAGGAGCAAATCCAAATCTGAGTAATGTCTCTGACCTGGATCTCCATAACAGTTTGACCAATTTTAGTCAAACTATGCAAGAAACTTCTAATTAGCTTCCAGAGTGCACTCATCAGTCTTCAGAGCAATGCAGCTGGGCGAAAGCCAAAAACAGGTCCTGTGCAGAAACCTCTTCCAGCTCTCCTGGGGATGGGATGTGACACCAGTGTAGCAGTGTGTTCTGCTGCATAGGGTCTGTGGGGCAGAATGGTGGATATCACAGCAAAGGTGATGTCAGATATTAACCTAAACATGGGATATGGGGAGCAGGATGTTACCTGAGCCCAGAACTGGGTCTGGCTTTGCTCAACCAGAGGTCTCCTATCCATGCACAGCCAGGTCCCACTTGGATGTACCCTCTGTGTCCCACCATGCCTGCAGAAGGGAACATCTGCCCCTAGAATCGTGGAATAGAATGCTAGGGTCATTAAGGTTGGAAAATGCATCTCAGGTCATCACGTCCAATCGTTGACCCACCCCCACCATGCACTCAGTCCATGTTCCTCAGTGCCACATCTCCGCGGTTCTTCGATACCTCCAGGGACAGGAGCTCTGTGACATTCCTGGGCAGCCTGTGTCGATGTGTAACCACTCTTTCTGAGATATTTTTTTCCAAATTTCTTAATATCCAGCCTTCATGCATGGTGGCACCCAGCTCTGACGCGTGCTGAGCTTTCCCTCGGGGCTGGAGGAGAGCACACGGTGCTGCCCCAGGTTTCCTCCCCCCTCCCAGACCCAGCAGTCCTCTAGCTGATGCGTTCAACTTGGAGCTGTTATTGCCATCCTGGGTGTTTATTTAAAAGCAGAAGGTCAAGAGAACAGCTCATTTCCAGCATGGAAAGCTTAATGCTCCTCTGCGCTAAGTAAAGGCATTGGGCAATCATTCCTACGGAACAGGTGCTGTGAGTTGTTTTGAATTTCTATATTTACTTATTGCAGTTTCTCTTAGAAGGGACTCTCTTAGAAGTGCTCTCCTTGCCTAGAGGCTCACAGGACAGCACAGCCATGTCTGACATGATCATGAGGCAGCCATGGCACTGGCAAGCATCACTTGATCCTAACTGCTTTCAACGCAGCTATTACTTTTCAAGCTCAGCCAGCCTATTCATGTAATTCCCTATTATGCTCAAAGAGCTGACACTGTAAACACCTCCAGGCTTGGATGACGTCCACCAAGGGCTGCTGCCTGTTCAGCACTTGTCTTCCGCAAGTATCAGGAAGATCACAGATTTTCAGCATGGTGTTTGGGGTTCCCCAGGCTCCCTGCATCAGACCCTCTGGATTCTCCACCCAAAGATGATGTGCATGCATGCGATCAGACGCCCAGCTGTTGCTGCCCACAGCCCCTTTTTCACTTGCCCCATGATGTGGATCGGAGAATCATGGAATTATTAGGGTTGGAAAAGACCACTAAGGTCATCTGGTCCAGCCATCCATCTACCACCATCACTGCCCACTGAGCACATCAGTGCCACTTCTTACATTTCTAGAACGTCTCCAGGGACAGTGGTTCCTCCACCTCCCTGGACAGCCTGTTCCAATGAATTACCACTGTTTTGCAAAAGAATCTTTTCCTAGCATCCAACCTGAAGCTCCACTGGCATGGCATGAGGTCATACCCTTTTTCCCTGTCCCAGCCACCCCAAAGGCAATGCCATGCAGCTGGAGCAGTGCTAGATCAGCTTGTGACTTGCCATTTCTGGTCCCACAAACTGTTGATCTGCCATTGACCCCATCCTTGTGCTGGGCCCTTTGGGGCTGGTGAGGCAGTTTCTGTGTTGCCATTTCCTTCTTTCCACAGCGGGGTGATTGTTGGTGACACTTTTCAAATCACACTGGGAGGTTCAACGAAACCAACTAGATGGAAATCAAATTTCAAGTAACCGGCAGGAAATGGAGAAGAAAAATATTTATGGAACGATTTTCTTCTCTTCCCCGAAAGGTGAAAATTGTCTCCGTCACTCATAAATTATTAATTTGGATTTGCCCCGTTTTCTTCTCAAGGTTGCAAACTCTGGAGGAGCAGGGGGTCTCCATGGAGGCACAGCCCAGAAGCACGCCATCCCACCAGGGAAGGGCAGCAGCCGTTCTCAGCATCGGGTCAGGGCTTCTGTGGTGTTGCAGAAGGGAAACGTCCCATGAGAGAAGTAAACTGCTATCAGAGGAGGGACAACAAACTGCACGGTAATGGGAGTGAAAAATGGGAGTTTTTCTCAGAGAGCCAAAACTTCATAATCAACTAAGAGGACGCCTTTGGCCAGGTGCCCATCCTTTCAGCAGTGGAGGCTGCTGTTAGGAACAGAAAACATGGAGTGGGGAAATAGACAACCATTGATTTTCAACTAGGTGTTATGAAGTATGGAAAATTGATACAAGGAACTGCACTCATCAGTTAAAAATACATAAGTTAGTGAACGTATGACAGCGAGAAGGCAATTGAAACGTTCAGTGAGCAAAATAAAATGGGGCAGGGGTTTTTCTTCTAGAGACGACCAAGCTCTTAATAAGGCAGAAATGCAATAAATGTTTGTGGGCTGTCTTCATGTCTGTCTCACAAGAGGAATTTGAAGAACTCACCAGCAATGTTAAGATCAAAGATTAAATGGCACTGAATGGGGTTATCTTATATAGTGGGAAGGCGTTACATCACACAGGAGCATCCCCAGTAAGTGCAGTACTACTGGAAGGTACAGCACACCCCCACCAGAGAAAGCAGGCTGGGGGATGCCCTGAGCATCAGACGTGGACAAAGCCAAGGGAAAGTGATACAGGAGTCAGCTGGAAGGAGAATTAGTGCCAATCAGCATGGCTTTATGGGAAATGGATCTTGTCAGCCCTCATTCCATTCAGAGAAGAGATCACAGGTTTGGTTAATAAAAGTAACTGAATAGATGTGATACTCCTCAGCACAGGGACTGCGCTGCATGGCTGATTGAAAATGGGCGCTCAGCAGTGTCAGGGAGAAGCACGTGAGAGATTGAGACTTGGGCAGAAGCTCAGACAGCCGTCGTCGATGGGGAGCTGTCATTAAACCTGTGGTTTTCATGACGTTTTCCAGCAGGAGGTTTAAGGCAGTCAGTATTTTCATCAGTGATTCTAACATGCATGTTGAAAACTCATTCATAAGAACTTTGTGGCTGAGGCGAAGAACGGAAGGATGGATAAATCCACAGCAGGACTGGAGAGGTGGGATCACCCGGGGTCCTTCCTCCCTCACACTGAGATACAGCCAAGTGCTCCATCGAGGGGTCCAACGGGGCTCTGCAGGTCTGCCAGGGGTCACTGAGAGCACGTGAGGAGCGAGTCAAGGGATAAAGAGGGGAGAGCAGAGCACAGCAGCACAGCACAGCTGAGAGTAATGCGTGTGCTGCCAACAGCTGCCTGTGCAGAGCCTGCCAGCCACTAGATGGATGGAGAAACGAGCAACTCGAAGGAGCTCAACCTGTTTATCTTGACTAACAAGAAGTCTGCAGGCTGGCTTAATCGTCCCACATGAGCACTTTGCTGTGGAGGAATTGCTTTAGTGTTGGAAGGAGCTTTTTCTAGCAGAGAAGTACCCCAGTGAGGGGGGTGCCCACCTCCTGGGACAGGATACTCTGCTGGAGGGTGCTTTAACTGAAGGGGAGCAACACGTCCCTACACAAGGAGTGGGTGGGTAACACGTGCAGGAGACTGGAAACCAGACTGCCCCAAGGAGCTTTGCTTGGAATTCTCAGTCTCATGTTTTTTCTTCCCTGGATCGAAGAGTCGTAGAACTGTTGAGGTCTAAGATCATCAAGTCCAACCATCCACCTACCATCAATGTTGCCCACTAACCACATCCCTAAGGACTAAATCTACGAGTTCCTTGAACACCTCCATGGTTGGTGACACCACCACTCCCTGGGCATCCTGTGCCATTGCATCACCACTCTTCCTGAGAAGAAATGTTTCCTAATATCCAACCCGAACCTCTTCTGGCACAACATGAGGCCATCAGCTCTCATCCTATCACTGTTACCTGGGAGCAGACCGACCCCAGCTTGGCCACAACCTCATTTCAGGCTATTGGAGAGAATGAGGAGATCTCCCCTGACCTCCTCTTCTCCAGACTGAACCATCCCAGCTCCCTCAGCCACTCCTGCCAGTGCAGCCCAAAGGATCCCACAAGCTCTGCACCTCTTGTGAGCATCATTCCTATCTGCTGGGTCAGTCCCAGCCCCAAACAGTGACACCCAGGCTGGAGCAGGACTAAAATGCACATGGGCTGAGAACGCAAGCATGCTGTTGAAAACAGCTCCAGATGGAGACGACAAACAGAATTTCTCTGACAACCTGGAAACAATCTCTTCCTCACAGACAGGGTATGCTGGTGGTCTCTGCTTGGATAGAATCAAATGCAGTCACCAAATATTTGCAGAAAGTATTGCCATCAGAGCACTTTCTATCTTATCTCCCACAGCAAACAACAAAGCATTCGGCAAAATAACTCTGTTGCCACCTCCCTCTTATGGCAGCCTGCTCCACTCCCACCTCACCCACAGAGACTGGTGGGTGAAAAACTTCCTTTATGAGAAAACGTCATTTTATTGCTCCACCTGGACTGTCTTTGGCTTAAGGATTTGTTTTTCTGGTCACTCCTGGCCAGGAATGTTTGTTCTTTGTTGTGACTGATCTCATTTTCCCTGCTCGTATTAAAGCCCCCCAGCAGCAGTGGCCAGATGGCTGCTGGTGATGTCTGAGTTGATCTGTGCCCAAGGTTTATATCTATGCCTGCTGCCATCCAGTTGGAGGAGTTCCTGAGCCCAGCAGGACTCCTGGGAAGAAGCTGAGCTGTGTCTTCACAGCCCTGGCCCCGAGGCAGGATTCCTAGCCAGGACAGAGCGTGATGATGGAGCCCTGGTGTGACCCTTTAGCAGGACCATCACTGAGTCCAGATCATCCTATCGAACAAAATGCCCCTTTCTCCAGGCTGCTGCCATTGGCAGCAGGTCTCCCAGGGTCAGATCTATCAAGCACTGTGGGATCTCTGGCCCCTCCACTTCCCATCTGCATTCCTTCCATGCCTCCCTCACCTCTGGCTCACTTCTACCAGGATCTTCACCTTCCCTTCAATGTCAGCCCCACTCTCATCCTCTCACACTTTCCTCCTTTCTCATTCCCTTCTGCTCCTTGTCTGTCATGTAGTTCTGGAGCTGCACTTCAGTGCTAATCACCCTGTCCTGACAGGTGCACCACCAGCTAAACATGGCAACACCAAAAGCCATTGGGACCAAGGCACACCCATAGGCTTTGCAGCCTGCTGCCTGGTGTGGCTGTTCAGATGCTCTTGGACTGCTGGTTGGTATCGTCCCCCAGTTCAGCAGCATCTAATTCTTGCCTAGTT